TGTAAAAATGGGCCCTTTTAATTGAAGACACCCCATATACTGAATCAAATACAGAAAATGGAAATGCAAATTCACTTAAAATAACAAAATACTTTTCAACAACACTTCATGTAAACTATAAAGTGCTTACAAATACAGGAGGAGCTATAATAAAACCAGGACAAGGAAACTTACCAACCGACTGGCCTGATACAACAGACTCAGGAGAAGCACCAACAAAACAAGTATCCATAATACTATGGATATATGAAAAATATATTACACACCACATCAAGAAACAGTACAAGAAATATTTGCTAAATTTATATTTGACTTCAAATATATAAATGAAGAAGAATTCTTAGACCTAAAACAAGAATACTACAGACTTCAAGAAGAAGCAAACGATAGAACTACATGGATACAAGGAGGAGCATTCCAAACCTATAAATAATTAAGTAGAAGACACTCTGCAGAAGACTACAGAGCTGCAATACAATTATTAGGAAGACCAACATATTACGAAGACTTCTTTAATAAATTAGAACAAGTATATGATTTATACAAAGAAGGACAAGTAGGACAAACATTCAGAAAACAATTCAGAGACAAAAAGAAAGAAAACCTCTCAAATGAAAAAGGATACAAATATAACAAGTATAAACCAAGAAAAGAAATTAATTTCTCAGCAAAACAAGAATATTATGTAGTAAAGAAAAATAAACTAAAATGCTACAAATGTGGAAAAACAGAACACTTTATGAAAGAATGTAAAAACAAGATTGCTAACCACACTTTTGCTAAAAATTTGACAAACAAAACCTGGAAGAAACAACAACTACAAAGGAAAAGAAAAACACAACTATAAAAGAAAATACAAAGGAAAGAATTATAATCCTAATTACAAAAAGAAGAACTATCCTACCAAATCAGAATATAACAAACAAGATCTAGGAAAATTCCCAAAAAACAGAATTGAATCTAGAAGATGGACCAAATATCCAACAAAATCTAAATATTATGAAAAACCACAAAACCCAAATTAACAAAAATGGTTAGAAAAAACAACAGAAAAAGCAAAATACCAGAAATACCAAGAATACAAACATTTCCAAAAGAAATGAACTCGTTAGAAAATACAACTAAAAAATTAGAAATAAATGACCAATCAGACCAAGAAGAATCTTATTTCTAAATAGGAGCCTGTAAGTTATTCAGAACCAACTCCTTAACAACACTTTAGGCTGTAACTCAGAGTATAACAATTATAATGACTATACTAATTATAATTATTACAATGATCCAACTAATTATAATAATAACAAATATAATTTAACTAATTCATGTAAAAAAATATTTAGCCAAGAATTTATTAATAAAATTATTGATAAAGGACCTATAAAACAAGTAAATAATTACTCTGCCACAAATAAACTAATCTGGACAAAAGAAAATAAACTAACACCACTAAAAGATAAAGGATCTAAAGCTTTATACTTTTATATACAAGTAAACAGAATACCTTTTGAAATGAAACTAGATGAAGGATCAACAAATACAACAATAGGAATAAAACACTTTAACAAACTAAAAGCACGAACTAACTTAATATATAAAAGCAAACCTGCAATAGCCAACACAGTAGGATCACAAATCAAGCTATTAGGCAAAGCAATCATAGATATAAAAATAAATAACCATTTATTCAAAAACATAAAAATAGATATACTTAGAAAAGACTTCAAATACATAATACTCTCAAATAAATTACAAAAACAACTAGAAATACTCAAAGATAATAAAACTGATCAAATCCTTATTTATAGAAAACCCATACACAACCAACAAAAATTAATATCAGATATGTGATTGTACCTAACAGCCCACTCAAGCGAAGTAATATCGAACGATAAGAAAATGTTACCAACTTCGGTGCTAACATCGGAGCTAACCTACTCGAAAGTCGAGACCTCCAAGTCTGAGAAAATGCTAAGTACATATGTTCCTAACCTGTCTTTTGCTTACCAAGTCGAGCAAATAAAGCAAAAGAAAAATAGAGAAAAGGTGCCCAACGTCAAAAACATCCTCCAAAAAGAAACCAATGTTCTCAATAAACCAGCATGGACCTACACTAACAAAAATATCACTATAATAAATACACCAGACTTTTATTATGAAACTAACAATCCAAGGACCAACGATATTAAAATTCCTCTAAATGATAAAAACAATCTTCAAAAACAACAAAAATCTTCCGAACCAACAAAGAAAGGCACAAAAAGTCCTATAGAAGAGTGTAAACAAAGAAATGCAACTTCTAAAGAATTAAATCTCTTTGTTATCCAAAAACAACCTGAACAAAATAAATTAGCAGCAGAAAACAACATGTATAATATATTTCTTAGACAATGTAGACTTAATTTAAAAAGAAGAAAATATATAGGCGTTACCTGTAACAGTACCGCAGAACAAATAGTGCAATCAGTAATAACCACTGGAAGTAATATAATACAAACATTCATGACTTACATATCAACCCAACAATCTTATTCAGATGAGAATATGAAAAACTTTATAACATTAAAAGAAGGCAAACCAAATTTAACAAATGATTATAAATTAATCAAATTACTCAAAGGATATGAAAACGACATACCAGAATTGAAAATTGTAATACATGCCTCAATGAGCTTATCAATAAATGATAAACTCCAATATGATAGCAAATTCAACTAGAAAATAACCAGAATAATAGAAGAAATAAAGCACGCAAGACAAATAAGAAGTAAAACATATGTATTACATACAGGTATATCAAATACAGCAAGAAAGAAAAAGACAAATGCCAAGTCCTCTGTGGGATTAAATTGGCTCACCCAATTACCTATCAATAAGGAAATAGAACAACAAACAAAACTCAATCAATTATCCAGACAAATTCTCCTTTTTATTAAAAAACATCTATATAACTTTTACCCAGAAAAAGAAATCAAGCCTGCTACAAAAACCAGACCTCCACTTAAAGCATTATTTCAATATATCATCTGTACTATAGTGGCTAAAAAACTACAATTCCTCACAGAAATCATCTACAAAGCCAATCCAGATGTTAACCAGAAAGCACCTATCCCCTTTAAATATCTTGAAACTACATTCTGTAGTTTATTATTTAAATTTATAACTATCCTATTCACCAAACTAAACTATGTTAAAATCTTTGAGTCATCTCTTACCTTCCCTCCATACACTCAGAAACAAAGATTCCAAGTATATCTTAACATTGCACATCTGCATCTATACCTTACTGAGCAGTACCAAACTATTAACCATATCAAGCTAGCAGAAGATCTCAACTTTACACCCAAAAAATTTCATATTACAACTGAGATCAAATCTGTTGATCTAGAAGAACCTTACCTTACAATAAAATCTAACTCTAGATACAATACACTGGTATCATTTAATTTACCCAAAACTCTTTTCCTTAAACAATATCATATCCTATCACTTTTTAACTCTAGAGAGAATCTAAACAAATAGTTTGACAAACAGTACCCCATCTACTGTAAACAATTCGCCAACCCCCAAATAAAAAAAAGACCCTTCTTAATATACAAACCTATATACACAGACAATTTATATCATACCTAACTGATCTTATCCCTTCCAACTTTAACTTCCCTGAACCTTCTGATGCAAGAGACAGGAAATTTCATGCTACTAAATTTACTAACTTTCATACCCTTCAGTACAAAGACAAAAATGTGAATATCGCAATTCTAACAACTTTAACTTACATGACAAAGATCGCCTGCTTAGAGATACACTTAAACACTTCTATGAAACCTTTTCCAAATTACCATCCGAAGAAGAACCAGCATGGGTCGAACCAATAATTGATGCTACAATCTTTAACATTAAAGCTCCACATAAAGCCTCCTTTAAAGTACAAATATCTATTTCTATTCTTGACAAGCTTGCAACCAAAGCTAAAGAAACAGCCTGTGAACTAAATCAAGTAACATTTAGTAAAAAATGACATGGCGCTTACTTCTACAAATATCTTACACTATACCACTCAGCTGCAGCTCATAATCACCAAATAAATAACAAAACTAAAGAAGAGGCAATGACACTAGTAACTAGTAATCCTGTTGAATTTGATTTCCTTGCCCGAATCATTACCTACTTTGATCTCATCAAAGACCCACAAGAAGATAACCTCTATCTATGTCATCTATTACTAAATACTATTCTGAGACTGCTTTCCTCCAAGCTGAAGAATTTCTTAAACAAAAGTTTAAAATAGATTTTCTATCTATCGACTTTGATAACAAACTCTTCTTTACTCCCTCTGTGCCCACTCAGCAAGATTCTCTCTCTGAGCAAGAGACCTCCTCTCAAGAACCTCCTTTTCAGCAGGGGTTCAGAACAATAGATTCTGAACCCTGCTACAACAAATTTCTACTCCACTATAAGCTCTCACCAGTTTCAACTCCACAAATACTCGGTTCCTTTTTACAATTACTCAAACAACTATAGTTCAATAACAATATAATCATCTCAGTTAATAATACTGACTCAGAAATACACATTTACCTTCCAAATGACAACAACCCTCTACCCAACCATAGAATAATTGAACGATTTAGCTTTAACAAATATCGAGATTTATCTCTCAAATCATCTTCCTTATCAACAAATAATATTGATAACTATTTAATAAATAACAATTCATTTTTAACTCTGCCACACATATCGGAGTCCCCCTACCACCTATAGCCACAACCCATATACTATTATCACCCATCCTAATCAATCTCCCTAACGATCAACCTCTCTTCAATACATATACTACCTCATCGGAGGCAGATGTATATTTACCACACCCTCCCTCTACCTCGCTCAACTTAAACCAATTTATTAACAACTACCTAAACAACTCTAAACTTAACCAAACACTTGATTTATCTATATGTATACATAACTTATGAGGATATAATGTTAATCTTAAGCAACAAGTCTAGGAAGATTTCTGTCTCTCCTACTACTTAAATATTATCAGCATTACTGAAACTAAAATAGCTAATACTAACCCTATAACTAAATTACAAAAATCTAAGCACTTCACATACTACTGGTCTTGTACTAGTAGCTCTAAAGCTGGTACAGCTATCATGATCAACAACTGGATCAAACCTCACATTCATAAAATTCTTACTATCCCAGGATATGCAATTGCAACAGACATCTTCGTTAAATATAATTTTAAGTTTATAGTTATCTCAGTATACCTACCTTGTGATGACTTTCAGTTAAGGTTACAAATACAGGACACTATCATACAATGGATTTAACAAGCTACCTTAGCCAATCTACAGACTATTGTCCTAGGAGACTTTAATGCTTCCAAAGACAATTCTTGCTCTTTCTCTCAATCAAATACAAACTGCTTCAATATTTTCAATGCAACAATATGTACAATTTGGCTACTCATACCCAGGCATCAACTAGCACATAGCAAAGTAGTAGATCTTAAAATACCATTGACTACATCCGGGCTAATCACTCAATCTTTCTATATCTAACTTCATTTGACATAAATGACTCCAGTACCAGCACTACAAGTGATCACAAAATTTTAATCTCTTCCTAGATATTTTTTCATGCCCTTATAGGCAACCGTAAAACTGCAACTAAAACCCAAAAAAGAATATTTCTCTACAAAAATATGGACAATAAACAATAGCAAACATACTCTGATCAAATCTCTTCCAATCTTAGAACTAATAAAACTTTATTATTTACAGACACATCTGAATCTCTTGAATGTACCTGGCACAAAATACAAACTAGTATCATTAATGCAGTCCTATAGCATATCCTTAACAAAAAATTTGCTGCATGAAACTTCTAATATATATTCTCACCAAAAGCATCTCTATTACACAATCATCTCAAAAGACTTAGTAATATAATACGACAAGATAAAATTTCATTTAGAAATCAATCATCAATACCTATACAATACAACTCCACTATTGACAAACTCAACAATACTCACCAACTGCTTATTTCATATATACTTTAGACTCATAATCTTCTTGCAAATGGGTTAACTACTAGTAATGAAGAATAGAAAGCACTCTATCATACTTGCAATATAGAAAACATCAAAGAAATTCATCAACAAATCAATAATAGTATCTCTAAAAAATATGGTAAACTTCTATCCAATCCCAAATCTATAATTAATAGCATTCTTAATTATCATAAAGATCTTGTCAAATTTGATAATATTAAAATGGACAATGATATCATTACAGATATATAAGAAATTAAATCTCATATACAACAACACTTTGACAACTGGACAAATTACCGAAATATTAACCAACAGATATTTAACTCAATATGGCAAAATGAATATAAACCTAAAACTAATATTCTAACTGAATGGTACAATAGCACTCTTAGTGAATTCTCTATAGAAGAAGTCTCAACCACCCTCTCCCAACTCTCCAATAACAAAGCATGTGGCCCTTCTGGAATTAGCTATAAAATGCTCAAACACACTGGTTTTCCTTTTCTTCAAGCAGTTACTGCACTATTCAACAGATGTATCAGTACTAACTCAATCCCTAAACAATGGAAAGAGGGCAGAATCTTTCTAATTTTCAAAAAACCTATCTTTGATAGCAACTTAACCTACACCAGACCTATCAGCCTCTTAGAACATATTAAAAAATTATATACTAAACTTCTAACCAACCATTTAAACTATATATTTACAAAATATGAAATTCTCTTTCCCTATAACTACATTGCTCTTCCCAGCAATTGTGCTGCCATCCTGATTCATATACTTAATAATATAATCGAAGAAGCCTCCTGTAATTCAAAAGAGCTTTGGCTCCTATCCCAGAATATGAGCAAGGTATACGACTCTATTAATCTAAATCTATTTAAACTATCTCTTCAATGTATTAATATGCTAGCAAAACTCATTAATATACTCAGCAACCTGCTATCAGACCGTCAAAATAAGGTTATAACCAACCTTGGACTTACCAATTCTTACTCAGTTAAAAATGGTATTGATCAAGGAGAAACAATTACTCCCTCTTTTGGAGGATCTATTATAATCCCCTCATTTATAGAATCTCTTCACAATTTACTGGCTACACATTATCTACCTCATGGTTATCCAATCTACAATCTAAAACTAACCAACATCTCCAAACTTCAGCTTTAGTACTTGCATATATAGATGATACATTATGGGTAGCCCAATCTAAAGAAGAAATAATCTAAATCACCCAAATGGCATCTTCCTTTTATCAAATAGCAGATATACAAGTTAATCCAACTAAGTCAATACTAGCTACCAACTCTAAGCCCTCTTCTATTCCTTTATCAATTTAACAATCCAATCTATTTCAGCTAAACACCCTTTAAATTCTTGGGCTATTGGTTTACCTTTAATAATAAACAATCTGAACAAATCAAACTAATTCAAAACAAAACCTTACAACTTACTTATATCGCTAGTACAAAGAAAATTACAGATAAACAAATTGTCTATATTATTAATATGGTCATTATCTCTATGTTAGAATACAGGATTCATAATATAGTACTATCACTTACCATATACAATAATATCCTATCTAAATTCCTCACAATAGCTAAGCATAAATCTCATCTTGCAAGATCAATCCCGAATAGCACTATGC